TTTACTTATGTTATGTATTTAATTAAAAAATTATAATTAACTTAAACATTGCAAGCTATTTCTTTCTTACTTAAAAAAAAACTATGATGTAACATAAGCTCAACAAATTGCATCAAAACGGTCATTATATTAAGTTATAATTTTAAAAAAAAATTATGCCTTTTAATATTATAAGAATTTAATATTCCAAAGATTTAAAAGATTAAATAAATATTGAGTGAATATTTAAAGCATTAAAAAAATATTAAAATTCTATTTATAAAGTTTATTTGTGTGTGTGCACAGAAGATTTGATTTATAAAACGTGACTTCAGTTCATATTAATATTCAATAAAGTATCAGTTCTATTATTTTTTATAATTATAATATCACATACATAAATTTTAAAATTTTGAAATAAAATGTTTTTCTATTTTATTCTATTTCACTCAGAAGTATTAATTTTTTTTAACAATTTTAAAAATTTAATCAATTTTTTATGATTTTCTCTATTCAGCGGTAATAATTATTATGAAGAATAATAATTTTCCTATAAAATTAGAGTATTTAATAACATTTTTTAACTCATCACAATACAAATATTTAATTCATGATGTCATTTGAGAGGTAGGTATGATAATATACTTAAAATTAAATATTATAAAAATAATGCTTAAAAGTAATCAACAGAATTTATTGAACTTATTAAATATATAATCATCTTTAAAGTAAAATATTAATAAAATATATTAAAATTAAATAATAAATTCGTTTATCATAATAAAGTTAATGAAAAAAAGTAGTACGATTTCATTTGATCTGTTTTTCTTTAAAATAACATTATATTCACAATAATAAGTTGAGTTTTTCTTAAAAATAACATATTAATTGAGTTAATAATTCTGTTTATAATGCTTTATGATTTAAAATTATTTTGAAATGATGATTATTTACGTATTCTTTTTTAAAACAATACGATCTTTCTAACTAATTTTTTCAATCATTTACATTAATATTACAAAAATATATATTTTATCAAGTTATCAAATAAACATAAAAATAAAAAATCATATTTAATCTAATTAAAATACAGATAATAAAGCTAATAAATTATATAAGTATTCAGCAACTAAAAACAAGGGTAAGTTCTCATCCCTATGTAGTTACTGCTTGAATAGAACATCATGGATACTACTTACGTTACCCAAGAAAACAACGTATATATACAGAGACTCAGCAATAGCAGTAATTTTGGTGCAAAGGGAGTGGGCATTTTTACTTTTGATTGCATGATTGGGTACTCTCAAATTCATTGCACGCATAAGTTGTTGTTTTCTTATGCGTATATGAAGATAATCTTTCTTGGTGCATTATGGTGATTCATTCATTTTGATTCTCTCTCTATATATCTATCTATCTATCTATCCATGCTTTCTCTGTAGGGATATATATGTCGCTGAATTGGTGTGGTGTTTTGGAACGAACGTGGTTCTCAAGCCAAGCTACAATAACAAGACATCAATTTCTGTTCACGCATAGTGGGACTAATCAAATTCTGTCAGCTTCTCATGTGTCAGACTCTACTTGGCACATGCTCACGTTAATGCCCAACAACACATGCAGATGTACCATTTACACACCCACCTTCTATGGTGTTCCATTCCAACCAATTTATCATCTTTCAAAGCAAACCTATAATTACTGCCACAGAGGGTTTTAAACAAAACAAGTGAAGAAAAGGAATCAAATCTTTGTTTTTTTATCATTTGGATATATTGCAAGTTATTATCTGGGTTTATAAAGATTAAGAAAAAAGAGAGAGAACATGGCAAAAAAGCTACCTTAATTAGAGAGAAGAAAGTTCCCGGATCATGATGTCAGTTTTCAACATAAAATTATTCAACTTTAATTTGATTTTAACTTGTATCTAAATTTTCAGTAGATTAGACAGTTTTGTATATGGGGAAAAGAGAATGAGTGATTTGGAGAAATCCTGGTTAGGAAAAGAGTGTCTTGGACTCTTTACCAGTGGAATGGATTTTATTCTAAAGAGCATAAAGATAGTGGTGGACTTAAGTAAATTAAAAAAGAAAGAATCAAAAGGTAATTGAATAGGAAAGGAGAAAAAGGATAGAATGAGGAGGATATGTGAGCATTTCAATCATTCCATCCCAAATTGAGAAGAGAAGTACAACTAAAATTATACTTTCCTTTTCTTTTTTGTGACAGACAAGTCACAAGACAAGATTTTGAGTATTGGGAAAAGATGAAATATAAAGTTAAGAGAGACTGAAAAAGATGGCTCTACCTGGATCTTTGGTTTATCAATATACATGTGGGTCACTGACCCCATATTAAGCAAGGACTTTAATAATAATAGCAATCATAAAAGTTTTGACAGATTAAAAGACAAGGTAGTGGGAACGGTATCGGTATCTGAGGTGATGTTATTGTTCATTTTATTTGCATACCAAATAGCTTTTATAATATTTCAGTGCGTTTCCCATTCTATTTCTGCTTCAATCATACTTCTTAGACAAAACTTTACTTGTTTGGATATCATTATCTTTTTAGTAAAATTATTCTCTTACAAATTTTTCCATTTGCGGTTTTATTAATACATTATAAGGAATACATATATATTCATTAATTATATTAAATATTTAAATAAAGAGTAATAGCATGTTTTCAAATTTAAGATATTTAATCTTTTTATTTGATTAAATTATTTTTAAATATACTTTTGAAATATACTAATCATAGAGATTACTATTAACGAAATAATTTAATTATTTTTATGTTATAAATCTGAGTCTTTATTATTAAATAATATTTTTTAAAAGTATTTACTTTTCATTAAATTATGTCAATTATCTTGCTTTGAACATTGTATTTAATCGTTTATTTATTTTATTCCTTTCAAGTAATATTACTTATTTTTAATTCTATTAATTTAAATTTTGATATAATGTATTAAATTAAAAATGCCCTTTTAAAATAGATTTTAAGATTATTATTATATTGCTTAATCGTAAATAGAATTTATTTTTTGTTTAAAATTTTGATATCAATAATGGTAATGTATCTTGATTAAATTAATTTATTTCAATTTTTTCGTGATTTTAAAAAATTATCTTTTAACTTTCTAGTTGTAAATTATTTAAATAAAAAATAAGCTCATTTAATGTTATAAAAGATAAGAAATTGAATGTAAAAATCTTAGCACTCTTCTAATTAGCTTAGGAAGTAATGAAATCTAAATCTAAATGTATCTAACGAGGGAAAACAGATTGACATATAGATACGCAAATTTTAAAATGTTACCGAATTTAATGAGATGCTCTATTTTAACTTATTAAGTTGATAAATTATAATAACAGATAAGGAAATTTATTAACATTGTAAAACTTATCAAAATTAAATGTTGGCATAAAAAGATGTAAAACGTGTGGTGTAAAAACAGATCCAATTTTTATGTAAAATTATTAAAAAATATTTAAGAATATTTTTCAATATATCTTCAGGTTTGGAAAAATTTGCTAAACTTTTTAATTTCTTTTGGGTAGATTTGATCACTGTCCATCCACCAATATCTCTAGTGCCAAACACAAAGGTAAGGCATAAATATGAAATAAAATTTTTGCCATTTTACTAGTGTATGTTTGATTATTCTCTTTTAATTCAAACATAATAAACGAATCATTATTTTCCTTTTTATAAAATCAGTAGTTACTTTCTTTGATAAATTAGGCATCCATGACAGTCGATAGTTCTTGCATTGATTATGTTTAACATCCTCTCTTTTGAAATCTTTAGTTAATTTTTTCCGTGTGATAAAAAATAATGTAATATCACAAAATTTAATACATCAGTAACAAAAAAGTTAGAAATTTAAATACAAAAAATTAAAATTTTCATTTTCATTATATCCTCTTAGACACACGTTTGAAAAAGTGTAAAATGTTTAATAGAACGTGGTGTTTATTATATTGATAGGAAGTGACCAAGATTTTAGTCGTAGCTTTATTGCTAGTGCTCCATTTGAAATTTTGGGAATGGGAGAAGAAAAGGTTCTTATTATTGGGAAGGTGGTGCAAGCAATATAGAACTTTAGGAGGAGAGTGGGGACAGAGAATTATAGAAAGGGGAAAAGGGGTTGAGGTAAATGGGTGAGAGTAAGAAAAAAAAAGAGGAAGAGGAGGAAGGGAGGAAGCATCCTATACCCATTATGGTGCAAGGAAGTGGTACAAGAAACAATGATGCTGATTTTGACATGGGAAACTTTATCCTATGCCCATGCCATGATGGTTTTCTAAATAATACTCATCTCCACTCTGTGGCAAACCAACATGGACTTTAGACTTACTTATCTTTCTTTCCTTTTTACTCTGTTTGCTTTCACTTTATGAGGATTTTAGGTCTGTCTCAACTTTTAAGACTTTTGCTGCCCCTTCAAGCCAAAATAATGAAAGCAAACAAAATGAAACCACTCATCCAAGCCGTTTCCAGAATTGATGCCCACTTATGGCCATATCACACCACACACATTACTGTGTGTGCCCCCCCTTTGCCTTTCTATTCTTACCCACCGCCCATCACTACTTTCCAAACACTACCAATTTGGATTCCTCTTTCCCTTCCAACCCCTTCTCCACGATTCACTCTAAGGTTTACTACATGGGGGACACATCACTTCCCCCTTCTCCTTTTCTTCAATTTGCATCTATCCCATTTTCATATTCATTTTTCTTCTCAATTTCTAAGCTCAAACCATCCCTTACTTCATAACAAACTAACTATTACACTTCAATTTACTTAGGACATATAGGTTATTATTAGCACAACCATGGCTGTGCTTGGAAACATGTAAAAATACATTATATAGAATTTCTTTACATTAAATAACAATTGTATACATTTTCCTTTTTCTTTATGCAAGAGGCCAAAGTAAGTGATTGATAACTTATCTTCTTAACACGGATTGAAATCATAATGCATTCTAACTTGAAAAAATCACTGATACCCAAAACATTTTTTAGGCAAATATTGATACAGTAAACACCAGTAATTGATAAGAGAATTACTACCTGCATAATTAACCATTAAATAAATCAAAAAATTTAAAAGGAAAAGATTGAATTATGAAATATGAACAAAAGAATTCTAAAATCTATTTGTTTTTGTTTTTCTTTTTCTCTAACTCTGTCCTTTTGACAAAAAAGAAAAAGAAAACTATTTTTTCTTTAGTTTGTGTTGGTCTACACTCTTACAGCGAAATTCTACAGCAAAACAAAAATCTATGTAAAAAGTTGTTCTAAGACAGATTAACATGGACACTAGCATCCATGCCAGAGTCACACACTGGGCAATTGCGAACTGTGGACCCACACATTGTGCAAAGGCAAAGATGCCTGCATGGTAGCAACAACACTATTGACTCCCTCACCCCACAATTCTTACACAACCTACCACTACCACCGCCAACCGCCGGCAGCGATGTCGCCGTGTCATCGCCTGCGTCCACTGCCCCATTGCTCCCACAACATGATTGAGCATCATCGGCGACAGCAACACCGCGATCTTCGCCGACATGTGCCAGCACTTGTTCCAAGTTGCTTCGTAGGTAGTTGGCTGTAGTTTCGTTGGTTTGTGCTAATTCCCTCCAAATTTGATTCTCCACGCACAAGTTTCTGACCCTTTCTTGGAGCGCCCAATTCAGCTTTCCTATTCTCTGAATTTCTTCGTCCTTTTCCTTTAACTTTTTCGCCATTGCGTCTTGAACTGCGCTCATTAACATCCTCGATTGCCTCATCTTTTGTTCCTCCATTTCCATTCTCACTTTTTCAGTCTGTTCAAATCAACACCACAATTTAATTAATAACAAAATTAAAGACACCCCGTGATTTTTTTCCAGACAAAGTTTGAAATTTTATCACTTTTACCTTCAGTTACTTACTTTTATAAATACACCAGAAAACCTTTGAATATGAACAGGTTTTTTTTTCTTGTCCTTTTAGGACAAGTTTAATTTTTTTTTTAAAATGGAAAACATGGATTGAATTGAAGGATAGATAATTACATGATGGGCAAGGACGCGATCGATTTCGGATTGGTGATTCTGGAATTGAAAAAGAGCATCTTGGTTGAGGAATGATGATTCAGAGGAGAGTTTGTTCTTCTGTTGAGGTGGGAGAGAGGTTAGTTCATTGGTGAAGTCTCTTGAACGTTTTCTTTGAAGCGGAATATGGTAGGTGAGACCGCTGTCTGCCTTGTTGGGATCACAAAAATTGGATTGATACAGAGGTAGAAGTGATTCAGGCATTGTTGTTGCTGGAGGCAAAGCACAATCCATTTGAGCATTGTATATAAAATCAGAATTTAATTGGTGATAGTGTTGATTGGGTTTGATGATTTCTCTGCATAAACAAATCAAACAACGTTGGTTAGAACAACATAAAACAAGTGGAAACCTTGAAGACAAGAACACATAAAAAAAATTATTTAAATTTAAAAAAAAATAAAAATTCTGGTAGAGTAGTACCTATTAGTGAGTAACTGAGAAGGCAAGAGATTCATCATGGAAGTAGCTTCAACTGCCATGGAGGTTGTTTAGCCTTAACTTATTGTGTGAGTTTGATGGAGAAGGGGAGAATAAGAAGGAGATGAGGAAGAGCATGCAATAGATGTGGCTGAGTATTAGGGAGTCTGAATGAATGAATGAATGAATGATTCAGGTTTATTTAGGCTTTGGTTTTTGTGGGCGTTTTTAAGAGATAGAAAGTCAAACGCATCTTTTCTAGACAGAGAAAATCTCAGCCTATTTTTTTTATGGAGAATGAGCATTACACTAATAAACAATTTAATTAATTATATTAAATTCACTGCCCCTTTTATTTTCCAAAAATAATATATATATAAAAAAAAGAGTGAAACATGGCATGTCAGATTTTGGTCTCCAGGATTCGCTTTCACGTTTTTTCTACAATCACTCGTTTTAGGAATTTGGGTTTCTCACTTTTCCTTTTATTTAATTTTCTTTTACGTGCAACAAAAAATAATAAAATAATGATTTTGGCTTATTCCTAACCTAGAAAATCACCATTTACGTACTTACCATATTTCCTTGACAGCTTCCTCATGTCTATATCGTGCATTGGGAGCATTTTTTGAAGCACAATTCATCAATCAAACTCTTCCCGATTCTCACGTCTACAAGTTGGTATCACTTTATCATTTTTTTTTTATTAGTTTACTTCAAATAAAATTATTTATTTCATAAGCTCATTTAGACAATTATATATATCAAATCAGTTAAATTTAAGAAATTCAAATATTTATGATTTCTTTTTTTATATTTGTATGCAAACGTAATAAACGGTTATTGATACATATTAAATTAATATCTGAAAATATGAGCCTGCGTTAATCAAATATTGAAACAGACATCTTTTTAATATAATTCGGTCATTGATTAAGGAATCATCACATATATAAATTCTTGTAAATCATCTGGCCATCTCTCAACAATTATATTTAGTTTTTAAATTGAACCATGAGATTAATTTAATTTAAATATATTATTATTTAATCATCCACGTTGTAATAAAAATCTATTTTTATAATAATAATTATATAAAATGTTTATTTATGATGTACTTTAATTAGTTAACGGTGTACATTGGTGTATTAGAATTAACAAAAAGAGCTAAAATAATTTTAACCCTTGAAATGTTTAAATATGAACTTTACCACAATTTAATATCTTGATTCGTTTCAATTTAACACGTTAATTACTTAAATTTTTGCATAACATTATGATAATTCAACAATGAATATTGTTATTAAATCGGGTTTTTGTTTAATTTTCATGTTTCACCAACAAGAAGATAATGTTATGAAAAATACTTAAGAATACATTTGTTTTATTATAATATTTTTCCAAATAACCTACATAAAATCACCTTGTAATCTACAAAGAAACTTTTTATAGAAAAAATAAATAATATCCTATAACTATATGATATAATAATAATAATAATAATAATAATAATTTCAGAGTTAAATAAATTTTATATTTTCAAATAATTAAAATATATGGCAGATATATTTTTAAATTTTTTATTACAAAAATTAATCATTTCCCTAATTTAACATTTAATAATTGAATGACAGTGTATATTTACTCTCACAATAAATTTTAATTATATTTAAAGATATTTTATAATGTTTAACAATATTTATTACTTTTATTATAGTTATCATTCAAATATATTAAATTTTTTTATCAATTAATATGATAACAAAATTTAAATTTAAATCAAATACATTTAAATTGATAACTAAATTTTCAAACTTAATACATTAATTACGTTTAATATGTTTTTTTAATCTGTAAGACCAAAAGGAATGTCCTATGTGATATAATTTTTAATCTAACAATTAGTGTTTAGATCAAATTATAAAACTTTATACCATTTAAATAATAATTAATATTTTATCAGCCCATTATATTTTAACAAATTAACGTTAAATGAATAAATAAATATTTAATATATTATTTTATTAATTTTGATAATTTTTTGATTTTTTTTTATTTTTTTAGTTTCTCATCCAATTTAATCTAAATTTAACCCAAGTCATTTACCTGAATGCGATGGATAAGCTTATCACTGAATATATATAAGAACTTGAATTTGAGACCTTACTTAAACAATACTGAACCGCTTATTAATCGGACTAACTTCGTTAATTATTTTTTATTTAATTTTGATACACACGTTCACACACTTTTACATTAATTATTCTTCCAATACTAAACGACAATAACAAAAAAATAATAATAAATAGAATAAATTTTTTTAATTAATTATAGAAAAGAAAATGCAAACTAAATATGATTTAAAATATCAAATTATTTTGGTCTGGTGTTGTTAATGAGCTGTGATATGTGGTAAAAGTATCTGAATATAAAATTATCTGTGATTTGAAATTTAATGGTTGAATTGATAAAGTTAATGCTCGAAAGACTGAATTGATAACCTATTTATTGGAAATTAAAAATAAGTTATACTCACAGAAATATATAATATAATTATATGATGATACAAAAACTCCTATATCTAATAACATTATCAGAGTTAGATTATATATATATATTTTTTTAAATTACTTACTACAAAAGTTAATATTTTTTTAATGTAAGACTACATAATTAGATAATAGTGTAAAATAAATAAATTTTAATTATATTTAAGATATTTTATAGAGTTTAGCAGTGTTTATTATTTTTCTTATATTTATTATTCATAAATATTAAATATTTTTATTTTTATCAATTAATATGTTAATATATTTTAAATTAAATATATTTATATATTATAATTATTTTTCAAAATTTAATACTTTAATTAATTATAATATTTTTTAAGGAAAAAGCGTTGGTGTTGTTAATTTTATTAATCAATTAAAATTATATTTTTATTTTAATACAATATTTTATTTATTCTATTATAAAAAATGATATAAAACTTTAAATTTAATCATAAATTTTATTTATTTGTTAAACAGGTAAGACCAAAAGCAGTATCCTATGTTAAGCTCGGGCATGATTGGTTAATTTATATTTAGTTAAAATTTGTAGTTTTTTTTTTTAAACTAATTTTAGTAGGAAAATGGTATTCTTGTTATAATAATTCAAGCCAAATTTTCATGAAATGTTTTTTTTTCGTAATTTTTTATATAATTTTATTATTCAAACTACCAAAATAATACTATATGAGATACTATAAATTATTGTTTTTCATTTTTATGTTTTCTATATACTCGTATCTTAAAATTATAAATATAAAAATAGTTAAAATATCTCTTTTAATGGTATGAAAAAATGTTTATATTTTTACAAGAAGGAAAAAAAAACTTCATATGATGAGAAGGATGAGAGAAAAGAAATACGAACTTGAGGGATGATCTGTGACTGTCAAAGGGTGAGTAATGTGTGTTTGCCTTTTTAGATTTAGTGAGTTAAAATTTAACTATTTATATTTATTTGTGGTAAAAGTTGTGATACATGAACTAAAAATATAATTAATGTTTTGTTTTTATAAAAATATTCAATTATTTATTAATATTATAAAACAACAATTAAATAAATTAAAAAATAATTTATAATTTAAAAAATAAAGAAACTACCTTCTTTTTTTTTTGTCAATGTTAATATACCAGATTGGACATTGATTCACTTTGGTGATGTTTATCCTCTCTGAGAGAATATCTTCAATTGTCGATTAAAATGCCTAGGTTATTAAACAAAGGTATTATTTAAGGTGTATTTAAGAATATATAATAATAATTCATTTAAATTTTGATTAAAATTATGGTTTTAATATATTAATAACATTTAAATATTATAATTTTGAATAAAATTTATTATAATATTATTTTTTATTACTTTTGGTGTTTTTTATAAGAAATAAAATAAAATATTTTTTTGTCCTTATTATAAGAAATAAATGATAAATTCAAGATGCATTAATTGCTAAATTTCTTTTATACTCTTTTTTTTTATTAATATCATTAAATACACAAATTACTAATTACACTATTTAATATTTAATATTACAGATATTCTTGAAATAAAATTTATATTTATAAAAAATATAACTGACTTAATTATTTTTTTTAATCTTAATAATTTAGTTTTTTAGTTTTTATAAAAAAGACAAATATAGTATTATATATCTTAAATTACATATTAAAAAATATTAAAAATGACAGTGCTTCACGTGCTTGGTGCATGATACGGGTCTTACGGAATTAAAGTGCTTGTATAAGTTAGTATACATAATAAGGTTTAATTGAATATTTAGTATTTATTTTTGTAATTTGTACTTAATCACACATGATAAAAATTCATATAATAATAATATAGCGGGGAGACTAAAAGGAATAAAAAAAAAAATGTGGGTGAAAAGTCAATGATCGGGTGTGGGGAAGATGCAGCGCATGTGAGTGGGGGCGCGAGTACGGTCAACAATGAATATGGAACAATTGTGAGGTCCAGTCAATGTTTCATGTTTAATGGACAACTTCAATTGTTTTTCATTTATTGCTTTTAAAAGAAATTTTCTGTGCAAATTTCAAATTCTTGCTTAAATAAGGTCCAACCCATGCTTCCATGGTTAAAAAAACCAATATTATTTCTCATCAATTCACGCCCCAATCATTTCCTATCTTTTTAATTTAGCTAAAATTATCAAAATTCAAATTTATATATATGATTATTTTAATGAAAATGTAAATATAATTTTTTTAAAAATTATTAATAGATTACATATGATTAATTTGAATAAAAAGAGTTACTTTTAAGATAATCTTTTGTGAGACTGTTTTAAGTTATTAATAGGTTACATATGATAAATTTTACACAAATACAAGTTATGTAAGGTTGTATAAATCACTCCTTTTTTAAATAGTAAAAATTAAAATATGAATACACATGATTTTTTAAAATAATCATGTAACTATTAATTTCTTTTTATGCTCTTAAAATAAAAAATGTTCTCATATATACTCATAATATTTAATTTATATAAATTTTGATATATAAAGTAAAAAATGTTTTGGCACATGTTAAAGTGCATCCATTTCTTCTTTTTCTGTTACGTTAGCAAAGGGTTTGATAATGTGCTACAATTTGCTAAAATTCAATAAATATATAGATGCCCATGCTTGGCTTTACC